CCCCAACACCACAGGTATCAACAAGAAAATAAAAGTTGAGAGAAGAGACATGATACCTTAGCAAAACTAAGGTTTTGAAATCCGTCTGTGAATGGATATTATCGACAATAGTACTCTGATACCTTAACATGTTTTGATTAGATTCGTTTAAAGCGGAATAAATCTAATCTAGAAACTTACAATTTTCGCGAGCATATTCGTTTCTATCTTCGGCGCACGAACGATGATCCACACCAAGCCTTCAATCCTCGAAAAACTGCTGTCCAGAAATTTACAGTCCTCTTCCTTCACCGATATCTCCGAGATGGTTCAGACAAATTATTGTTCTATGGGTTAGGAAGCTACTGTCTAAATTTCAAGCCAATCGGACAAACGGTTGATTTATGTTGAATTTTCTTCGCAGGACTGCTCAAAAATTTCGGGAATAATAATTTGCTCTAAAAACCTATAGGCTTCTTCTACAAGGGTGGACTTGTACTTGAAGAAATCTAAATCTATAATCCAGAAACTTAGAGAGAAAAAAAAGAAGAGAATTTTTTTTTTCCTTCAACGTGAAATAGGCGTGTGTAATCAACCTAATCTCTATTATATATAATATAGCACAAGGAATTAGAGTCACACATAGGGAGAGTATTACATCAAAACAAATCCCACTCCTTTTATAACTCTCTATAGTCGAAAATTGAAATCCAATGGGGACTTAATTTTTCGGTATATCACTTCCAATATATAATATTGGTTGAACTTTCGGGAAACTAATAATTAATTAAATCCAAACTCTTAAAAGAATTCATTTAATTAATCGTTAAACAATTATTTATTTTCCACTACTAAATAATTATTGAACTCCCGTTCATATTCTCAAATATTACATTCGAGCTTCGGTCGATCATTAGTTAGATTCTTCCCACATTAAGATATCTTATAACCACCAAATAATTTATTCACCGCTAAATAAATTAAATGGTTTCTTTTCATGAGTCTTACCCGCTTAACTTATTTGAGTATGCCGGATACGGAATCCACCTGGCCAGAACTTGGCATAAACAAATCTTATAAGCTACTCAAGGGTTATTCAATCCCATATTTCAGAGATGTTGATTCCTTTCGATAATTAATTTCCACATATTAATTCTTAATGTCTCTACCCAACGCACTGGGGGGCCATTTGACTCTATATAGGAATCTCTCCCATTTTGACATCAAAGTAGAGATCATCAATTAAATGTGTACGTTAATTATCTAGGGATTAAGAGAGTAAATAATATACTGCCAACTAGGAATAATACAGTTTCATTTATGAACAGTGATGAAACAATTATTTCACTTTGTCCGGTTCAACACATGTCGGGTGTGCTAGTACAATACGTCAAAAAAATAACTACAAAAGTTATTCTCTGTTTACTGTGATTAACAATCACTTAAATATTGTGCTACAATCTTTCACCAATGGATAATCCATTTCCATCTAGATTGTGAACGTTTATCGTTATATTCTAAATGAACTTTCAAAATGATCTTTCTGTGCGCCGTAGCACACCATTTCGAATACTATTAGAATATTAGACTTATGCTTTTAATTAATTGACAAACAATCAATTAAATGCATTGAATACTGTTAGAGTAGGTGCCGAAGAGCCAACTAATTGTTGTGTTTTCTCACGCTACTCGTAAATAATCTATTTTGTATTAATGATAAATAACCCCTTTGGCATTCTATATCTTTGTCCCTTGCATAAGAATAGATATAGTCCTTACAGTTACTTAATTACTATAAATAGATCTAGTAGAATCGTGAGATTATTTAGTTAAGTATAGTAACTGTTACACACAGTTCCTAGTCAACGGGTTACGCCACTAATGAGGATATCGGCCTTTCCCATTCGAGACTAGCACTTAGTGTATGTGTAATGCGTCTCATCAGTCAACGATTTTGTGACATCGGCATACATAAGTGGGTGCTCATAAGTTGATGAGTTCACTTAACTCCCTCAATCTAGAGAGCTCTAAGTGGTTCCCAATAATCGAGTAGATGTTTCTATGATATAGTTGTCCACCAATAATCCTTAAGACCCAGACATCACCGTGACTTCACTAGAGGACCAGCTGTATTGTGACATGTCCCTGAGTTCCACCGAGGACCGCCCCAAGGGCTAGTGTTCGTGTAGTCTGAAATCTACGTGGGAGGTATGTGCATTGTAGTAGGAGATTCGATCGCTTGAGTAGGCATGGATATCCTGTGTGTTCTTGCGATTTATAATCCATGAAGTCTGTGGCCACAACTGAAGGTGTCGTGATTAGAGAAATATGTTTCTCTAAGTCAAACACGAACAAATTATATAATCAAGAACGTCCACACAGTTATTGAACTCATAAAGAGGTCTCGACGAACCAATGCCTTTAGTTCAATCGGGATATATGTATCGAAGGGATCGTACTGTACGTTAACTATAGCACACGGTTCTTGCATGCACTTCATTTGTATCTAGGGAATCATGATGCATAGTGGCTAGACGCCAATCTTGATTCGTTGGGTAGTTAAGTTGAAACTAGTTTCAACTTAATTATAACTCTAGGGACGAGTTTAAACCACAACGGGTTGTGGGCATACGGCTAGCTTACACCTGAACCATCGAGGGTCACACTGCTCGTGTACTTGAGATCCTTAATGCAACGAGCTAACATCAATTAGTAATCTTAGTATAATTGGAAGTCAATGTGATTGAGTCCAACATTCGTAATTGTTAATTACGGATGAGAATAAGTAGAGGAAAAGAATCCAACGGAAATTTAGTGAACTTTCTGTTTTGGGAAGTTTCCCAATTTGGCAAGTTCTAAATTAGGGTTTCCAATTTTAGAAATTGATAAATTTCAAAGTGGTACTCGCATCGACAAGATATTGTGCTCGTCGTCAAAATATAATTGTTATATTTTTGCGAGCATTCATTTGTTAGAAACGAGTCAAGAAAGAGAGTGGACTTAACCTGTTGGGCCTAGCCCAACTTAAGGCCTGTTAGGGTTTTCACAAGGAGCATATAAATAGGATTTATATGTCTTGTGAAAAAAAAACAAAAACGACACAACACAAGCTTGAAACCCTAGCCTCTCTCCTTCCATCGGCCGTCCACCTTGCAGCCGAAACCCTACCTCCGCCACCAGCCGCCGCGCCGCCGCCAGTCGCCGCCGCATCGGCATCTTCCTTTTCCCTTCGTTCTTGTTCGTTGTACCTAGCCTATCACGTATCTAGTGCGGCGTGGATAGTGGATTGAATATACGAGGTGAAATCTAAGAGGAGGAATATTATTATACCCCGAACGCCGCCAACAGGGTCATCCCCACGCACCGCCACAAGCCGGTGACGCGAGAAGCCAATTCTGAAAAAACTGCTCTCGGATTTTCTGCGCAGTCCGACGAGAAAATTCTCCTTAAATCAATTGGTGATCGGATGGACGTGAAATTTTGACAAAAGCTTCACGACTCATAGATTTACGACCTTCAAAAAGGAATTGTCGATCCAGTAAATAACCATGGAGATATGGAAGTCGGAGCAGGGTTGTAATTTCAGATCAACTAACAGGTTGGATCAGTAGGAGTGGGAAGAGCAGCTAGCCATCTTCTCGAGTCTTCGTTCAATTCACGCTTCAAGGGTAACATATCGTTTTCCCTAATTAATATACATGTATTAATTAATTTATGTTAATTGAGATTAATGTATGTTAATTGATTGCTGAATCACATGAATCTATATGTTTGATTATGTGTTTATGTGAATCGTTCGTTGAGCATGTTTATTATTTGTTTAATTTCGCGAGCATGCTATGATGATTTAATTTGTGTTATTTAAATTAATTATATATATATGCGAGCATGTTTGTCGGTGATTGGAAGCGAAAAGGTACGCAATTAATTGTAATTTATTGTGCACGTGCTTGTTTATATAAATAAAATAAAATTATTATTTTCCGCTGCGTACACGTGCTCGATCCCCCAACAAATACCCTAGTGCAAATTCTCATAAAATGATAATAAACTATTTTATTAATTCAATAATAAAATTATGTAGCTAAAAGCGAGACTTTTAGTCTACTATCCTAACAAAAACCTACCCCCTAAATTCCTCGTACGAAGCACCGAATTGAGGTGAAATTCCGCAACAATAAGATTGCCCAACCATAATTTCGCAAATTTCAAACATTTGTGGAGCTAGAACATCACAATGAGCAAAAATATTTAATTTTGGTAAGTTTCTTCGAAGTTGATATCTTTGAACTTTGTTATCACTACAAGAAAATCTAGTTTTAGCGACCAAATTCCTAGTGACGATACCAAAATGGTCGCTGAATGTATACATTTAACGACCAAAAATAATTTGGTAACAAAAGTTGAGGTGCTTAAATTTTATTGCGACCAACCAATCGTTGGTGGCTGTAAATGGTCACTATAACTCGATAGACCTTTAACCACCAAAATTGGAGCTTTTAGAGACAAGTTTATGTGGTTACTGTAAATAAATAATAACAGTGACCAATTTAACCAAAAATATTCAATGGTTACTAAAAGTCTTTTTAGGTGATCATTAGCAACCAAGTAAATTGTGGCTAATCATATATTAATAGCAACCACCTTTTATATAGATGATATAAAAATTATAATTTAATTCATCTATATTTAATTAAATTTATTAACAATTATGTTTCAGTCAAATTTTGTAATTTTACAAAAAAAACCATTTGCTTTGTAATTCTTTTATATTAGTTTCGTATTTATGATTTCTATCATTTAAATATTTTCAACCAACAAGAATAATGAAATCAATATTTAATCATTCAAAATGAATTACATAGTATTTCAAATGTAATCCAATTAAAAAAATTAGATATAGATGCGATATAAAAAAATTGATTATAAATTTGTATTTTGGAATTTAATTTAATAATACTAATTAGTTTTTTCAAACTAGAATGTTACATATTTATTTACTTTATTAAAACATGCTTAATATAATTATAAAAGTTAAAATAAATAAAATATTGATTATTATAATTATAAATCAAGATAATGAATGAAGGGGTAAAATTAAAGGTCAAAAGATCCGAAACATTCCACCATCTCTACAGCCCTATGCCAGTTTTTATTTTTTCTTCTTCTTTTTCTTCTATTACATCAATGGACCTCTTTCATATGCAACCGTTGCAGTACCATCGTCCACCATCGAACTACGCAGTCAACCAATAATGAAGGGAAAAGGAACACCCAGGCCCAACACCCAAAAGGTACTGCAATCGATTCGTATCTGGTGAGTATTCATTGTACATTTTATCTCAGTCGAATTTTCTATAGGGTTTTCAATTGAAAGATGCTAGGATCCCTATATCCACGTTGTTTTCTAATTGAAAATCCTTGTGCAGTTCACTATCAGAACTATTCCCGCTATTCGTCTCACCCTCGTCCCATCGATTAAAATCAGTATTATTCGTAGATAACTTCTCCTCGTGTTGCTTCTTTGTCGGCCCCTTTGTAGCCCACTAAAGCGTATTTTTTTCGTGATTTAGCAGGTTCTTCATGATTCCCAATCTTCAAATCCGAAATTCTAATATTAGGGATTGTATACAATTTGTGGGTTATGTGACTAATGCAATAAATGGATTTTTTCTCTGCTGACACTGTGTTTCTTACTGTTGATTTTTTAAACATTACTAGTTTTATTTGTTAAGTATTTTGGGGAAATTTCTATGATCTTGTTATATTTGTTCATTCGTTCTTCGTACAACTTATTTTGGGGACCATGTAATTAGGACGCTTTTGGCATTCTCAAATGTCTCGAATCCTGGGTTTTAATTTAGAATCTTATATAGTGGATAGTATCTCTAAGTATCTATTACATCTTGTATGTTAATTGAGATGAATTCTACAGAATATTGCTTGTTTCTTGTTCAAGCTAATGTTAACCAAATAATAATGATTTTTTTCCTGCTTGTAGATGAATATTTTGTTTAGCTCCCGACATGACATATTAAGTTTTTAGTCTTAATTTGCTATGTATTAGCATGGTTCTTGAAGGTTTTATCATTTTTAAATTAAAAAAATATGTAATTTGTGAAAGCAAAATGTACTCTCGTTATTAACTTGAAATAAAAATTATTTGGCTACTTGTCTAGATAAAGAAGTCATTGAGGTTCTGATACACGAAGAAAGTGGTTCAAAGGGAGAGTGATTAAAGATTTAGTGAAGTCACCACAAGTTGCCATGAGCAGAGTGCATTCTTTCTTTTGGCAAAGAATACAAGTGGATCTATGAATATATTTCCCGGGAAACGAATGTGAGCCCAGGTGAATACTTTTACTTATTTTGATCTTGCCAAGACATATTACTTGATTTATTTTTGTATCAGCAGAGAAAACCTATTTCTGTTGGATGTGAAAATGATTTTTCTAGCATATTATGCTTCTTTGAGACAATCAAAACTCTAGGTTATAATGGGCTTCTCGCCAAATATTTAGAGTCTTATACGTTGGCATATGATGCATATATACCCGTAACATCTTGAATGTAGTTGGAAATAAAGTTTTGCAAATTTTTGCTTGTTCATTGTATTATACTTATTTTTTTCCTAATTGTGGAGGAACATTCTTGTTTAACTTGACATGAAATATTAATCTATGTAACTATAGATTAAGTAGCCTTAATCTGCCATGTCTAAGTATGGTACGTGAAGGTTTTGTATTTCTCAAATGAAAGTAAAATTTAGCTTGTTCAAAGAAAATTATATTTTTGTTAGTAAATTAGAAGTGTCAATTTTGCTACTTATCTAGATAAAGAAGCTATACTATTGCGCCACTTCACACCATTGGATGATAAAAGGGTTTGATATATTAAGAAAGCAGTCCAAAAAGGAGATAGGTTAATCAATGATTTAGCTAATACATTACATGTTGCCATGTGCAAAGTGCATTAATGTCTTTTTGCCAAAATAGTACAAGTTGAACTAAATAATATGTGATTAAGGAAATGATTGTCAGCTTAGGTGATTACTAGAAATATTTTTAGAAATTTACATATTTTGATGTTGCCAATACATATCACTTAAAGTTTATTTTGTATCTATTAAGAGCTATGAGCTGATATACGTATCTGAATGTTGTTGATCTTTTAACTGTGATTGGATAAATAGGGGCAATGGTTATTCTGGTAAATAAAATTTCTCTCTTATGTTTATTTCAGGATATCATGGCCACTACTGGAATTCATTGGAATGTTGTATTGTTTGACAAACCTTACGGTCATGAAGTATATACTCTCAACGGACAACAAAAAAAGGTTAATTGATGTTGCACATTTTCAGTGTGTTTTTTTGTGATACATTCATTGAACTTGTCCTCCTGGTTACTAGTAACCTTATGGGTTTTTTTTTTCTTTTGCATCAAATTTCAGTTATTCATAAAGAGGCAGGCAAAGTTTATGACCGAGTTCCGGATGTCTATTGCAGATCTCATCATTGTAGTTGTTAGTTTAACTTAGTTTGCAACTATTGTTTGAATGATATTGTACATAAATTCACCATGTATTTAATTTACTGTGCAACAATTAATTGTACTGGCTACTAGTATGTACAATTTAACAATCAATTATTATATATTTGTTTTTTATTATTCTTAAAAAATAGTTGGCAATATATTTGTAGTCATTTTTCTACAGGCATATCTGGTTAGAATTGGCCAGTAAATGTAACAATTGCTGAAACTATGTAAAACCTATTGCGATTAATGACGTGGTCACTATATGTATATCTCTTAACAACCAAATAAATATGGTCAGTGTATGTATATTATCTAGCAACCAAAAGATACGGTTACTAAATGTATACTATATAGCAACCAAAAAATGTGGCCGCCAAATTTATATTATATAGCAACCATAAAATATGGTCACTACATGTATATTCATTTAGTAACCAAAAATATATGGTCACTATTTGTGTTGCGATAGCAACCATATTAATATTAATGCGACCATGAATTTTTATATTAGCGAGTCAAAAACTGGTCGCTAATGATAATATCATTAATGACCATTATTAGTTGGTCGTTAAATCTCATTTTTTAGCATCCAATTTATTTGCTCGTCACTGAGCACCTTTAGTAGCCACCCTGTTGTGACCACATGTGACCAAGCTCAATTTGGTCACTATAAGTTTTAGCGACCATTTTCTAACTTTCAACGACCAAAAAATATGGTCTCTAAAGCCAAAATTTCTTGTAGTGTATGGGGATCTGGGAGGTGGTAGTTTCGATCTCAATCAAATTGTATGTTGTAGTGTAGAATATAAGTATAATTTGAGGGTTAGGGTTTCTGCATTCGGTTCAATGAAATATGGGGAATGGGAAATTGGGGATTTTAATGACAAATTTGGAATTTTAAAATTGAAATAGAGGGAGAAAACCACATGTCACTCCATGTCATTCTTCAGCCACATCATCTCAGTGTGGCAGCCATATCAGCATTTAACGGCCAGATCGACATTACGTACGCCACACGTGATAGTTCTGTCCAAGTTAACTGACAGAGTTGACAGCAGAACATAAATTATTAAAAAGTGGTAAGTTTGAGGACGTATTTCGTAGATGAAAAAATTTGAGGACAAAATCGTTTTAGTGGTAAACTTTAGGCACATAAATTGTAATTTTTCCTCATAACTAATAATAGTTATACCAATTTATATTAAGGAAATTACTAAACATCCATCAACTGTAAAAATTAAACATCTAATGATCTTTTTTCTTAATAATAATAACAAAGATAATAATAAAAGTTTTTTAAAAAAGAAAAAAATCAACAATGATGACTGTCAAAAGTGGACCAAAATTTCAGAATTAGTTAATTTGTGAAATTGAGTCAAAATTAGCCTTTAGATCATAAAAGTTGGGTTTCGGGGAGTGAGAGGGTAATTTTGGTTTATCTCAAAGTTTTCATGAGTAGCAAATAAGTGTATGTAGGAGTGTTCATGCTGTAAAACCGTACCGTACTGGAATATTGGTAAACCAAAATTTCAGTACTTCAAAATTTTGCATCATTTACCAAACCGAGCTATTCAATTAGATCGGTTCGGTACAGTTTTTTACCGAAATATTCGTTATGGTACAATTGGGTATCGGTAAAACCGATATATATTTTCTTATTTGACAAAAGGGAAAAAAAAAAAAATTTAAAAGAAATAATGCTTGAATTTGGCATTCAAATTTCAATAATCGACCCTAAAAAAAATTATCAATAGAGGTTAAATATTTCGGTTTCGATTGGTATACCACACATCAATACCGTATATACCATATCAAATACCGGGATTTAAAAAAAAATTACCGAACACAAACCGAATTTTCGGTTCAGTACGGTCCGGTCAGTTTACCAACCGAGTAAATGCCCCTAAGTGTATGTATAGATATATTTGCAAGACAAAATAGATAGGATGAGTGGTCTATTTTTTTGCAATTTGTCCTTTAATTTGCAACGTTCTGCACATTGTTTGTTAGTAATTAAGTAGCATAGTTGGGGCTGAATTTAGGGTCTAGTCTCTGATTTGGGAATGAAAAATCAGAATTAATCAGGTTCTAATTCATTAATTAATTTTGTTATCGGAAAAAATAAAAATAAAATAAAAAATATAAAATTTAAAATAAAACGTACTCCAGAAGAGGTTTATACTCATTAGAAGTACTACTATATAAATAAATTACTAGTTATTATATTACAATACAAAGATTGAGGATTCCCAACGTGATTAATAAATCCGCACTATTTAAATACCCACACCTAGTAACCTAATTAACTCAAAATTATTTATTTATTTATTTATTATTGTCTTTTTCTTTTCATCTATCCATGGCGACAGAAGCAGAAGCCCTGGATTCGTGCAAGAAGATGAACGAAGAGGATTCGTGTAAGAAGACGAATGAAGAGGATTCGTGCAAGAAAATGAACGAAGAGGATTCGTGCAAGAAGATGAACGAAGAGGATTCGTGGTGCAAGAAGATGAACGAAGAGGATTCGTGCAATAAGAAGAACGAAGAAGATTTTCCCTGTTCCGGAAAGAAGAGAAAGCTACAAGGCTGCGATATTCGGGTCGTTTCCAGCCCCGATCAAAGAGAAGGTGTTCGATGTGATGATGATGATGATGAGTCTGCAATCAAGAAAACGAGAAACGACGATTCCAATAATAATAATAATAATAATAATGAGATGATGATTATTGTACATGTGAGCAATAATCAGACGCAACGAAAATCTTATGGGAGATTGAAAAGGACGGCGCGTTGCAGAGTGGTACCGGCACACAAGATAAGAATCATCAGAGGCACGAGTTACGATGAATCGGATGATGAATTGTAATAGGCGAATTTATTAATTTTAGATATATAGTACTGCGTACGGGGAAAATTTGTTATGTTAGATAATTTTCTCTACTTTTTGTTCTTGTGATCATAGTTCGATCGATCACCTACAGATGTTATCTTATATCTTCTCCCTTTACTATTTCTTTTTTTTTGGAAATAAGATATTGTCCATTATTTTTCACATAATCTCATTATGTTTCTCCGTGAAAAAAAACAAAAGACAAGAACAATAAATCAATAATGATAATTATAATTTTACAGCAACACATCTCTTTTCCGAAATTTCTTCGGTTGTCAATGGAAATATTGTTGTTTATGGTGTTGTTCAAAGGTATTAGATGAATGGCTGGATTTGGGCAAAAATATTTGGCATGGTTATTTTATCACATGGGGCCTCCGACTCGTATTCGTGCACACCATCTCAACCGCTTAAATCCGTCCGACGGTTTACCTTGGTGAATATTCATCTGCGGCCGAAGGAATCTCGTGGGAAATACGAAAATAGCCGGAATTTGATTCCTGGTTTTTTGTTCTGGTAGTTTTGTTCATTCCCAGAGAAGAAGGGGGTGGGTGGGGCGGCGGGAAACAGGGAATATGGTTAGGATTTTCATTAAGTTTGAACAATTGTTATTTAATCCCTTGACTTTCTGCATTTTTTTAGAAATTCAATTTAATCCCTTAAATTAAAAAGTTATTTTGTTTAAGGGTTGGAGATTTTTTTTATTGTGAAAAAACTCGAGGCTATTTTTGTCTATTCACGGCGTTATTAACTTTCGTGAATAGACAAAAATAACCTTGAGTTTTATTAAATAGCACAAAAACTAGCGAAAACACCCCCATGATTTTTTTTAAATAGCACACTCGAGTTTTCAACTATCGCTGCCGTGAATAGCCTGAAATTCCCCGACTGTGGCCATTTTCAATTATCGCCGCCGCTTCTCTTGTTCAATTTAATTTCGCTGGATGTGTCGGCAGTCGCGCTGCTGCTTTCACCACCGGCGCCGCCTCTAACGCTAGGATGGACGGGCAACTATGATGCACGGAAACTTCAACCAATACGCGTTTCCATGTTTCAGAATATTTGGGAATATTAATTAATAATTTAGAAGAATATTTGGTTCACATATATCCTTTAAAGTAGCTTAAATTTTTAAAATTTTGGCTTATGCATATCACTATATATCGTGGTAGATCAACAAATTTTCAATTTAAATTATCCAATTTGTTTTTGAAAATTTTGGATGATTTCATTGTCCTTACTATTTTATATTTTAGGGTTTAAAATATTATTACCCATTAGAGGTAATTCTCGTCTTTATATAAATTGAGCCCGATTTCATCGGCATAATGTTCTCGTCTCTAATGTTCTTGACCATGGTGATGGGATTTGCCGGAAAACCTCGCATAGACACCGGAGATTGAGTGAAGTGAGGAAGAAACTAATTAATAATGTTTCACTTTGTTTAGGCGATCGATGCTGGTTCAGAATTTATAAAATTCTATTAGGGAAATTATAGTTTTATCCCTCAAGTTTGCACCGATTTCATATTTGTCCTCCATGTTCACAAAAAAACACATTTGGTCCCTCATGTTCCAATAATTTAACATCTTTGGTCATTTTCGTCAATTTACCGTTAGTCCGTTAGTTGAGGCAATGATGGGCACACGCTTGATTCCGTTAGTTTTAACGGAAAATTGACGGAAATGACTAAAATTGTTGAATTTATGAAACATAAGGGATGAAAACTGTATTAAAGGAAAATTAAGGGACCAAATGAATTTATGACGGAAAATTAAGGGAAATGACTATAATTGTTGAATTTAAGGGACCAAATGTATTTTTTGTGAACATGAGAATCAAATGTGAAATCAGTGCAAACTTAAGGGATGAAAACTGTATATTTTTCCCATTATATTTATTATGCAATTTTTGAATGGATGCTATTGTCGATAATATCCATTCAACGCGGATTACAAAACCTTAGTTTTGCTAAGGTACCATATCTCTTCTCTCAACTTTTATTTTCCTATCGATACCAGTGTGGCGTGGAGGCCACGTGTGGTATTACTTGGCCGTGTGACGCTATATTTGAACTTTGTATGCTTTAAATTCGGAACATATTTGAACTCTGTATTGCTTGGCCCCGTGTCGCAATATTTGAACTTGCCTTTGTGATTATGTGCTATACTTGCCGTGAAAAATGAATGCTTATGATGAAGGTTGAAAAGTCAACTCCTACAAATAATATTAATGATCGG